ACGCCTTATTTCATCCGGTTAGTGCACCCCCGCAAACATCTGCCTTTATCCGCAAACATCTGATTTTATCTGCACACATCTGCTTTTATCCGCAAACATCTGATTTTATCCACAAACAACTGATTTTATTCGCATCCCCAAACATCTGCTTTTATCCGCAAACATCTGATTTTATCCGCAAACATCTATTTTAATCTGCAAGCATCTGCTTTTATGCGCAAACATCTGATTTTATCCGCAAACATATGTTTTTATCCGCAAACATCTGATTTTATCGGCAAACATCTGCTTTTATCGGCAAACATCTGCTTTTATCCGCAAACATCTGATTTTATACGCAAACATCTGCTTTTATCCGCAAACATCTGCTTTTATCCGCAAACATCTGCTTTTATCCGCAAACATCTGCTTTTATCCGCAAACATCTGATTTTATCCGCAAACATCTATTTTAATCTGCAAACATCTGCTTTTATCCGCAAACATATGTTTTTATCCGCAAACATCTGATTTTATCGGCAAACATCTGCTTTTATCGGCAAACATCTGCTTTTATCCGCAAACATCTGATTTTATACGCAAACATCTGCTTTTATCCGCAAACATCTGCTTTTATCCGCAAACATCTGATTTTATCCGCAAACATCTGAATACATATTCTGGTAGGGAATTGAACGATCTACAAAAAAGATCTGATATGATTTTTTGCTTAGTCAACTCGTTTAAAAGTTATTTGAGGTTAAAGTTCAACCTCAAAAAGTAAATGAAGATTTTTATAGTTTTTCATACTCTATTACGAAATATTGGCTCAAAAATATGAAAAATCATATTTTTCGTGAAATTTATCGAGTTTCCATCGGTAAAACAATATAATTTTTACGAAATATCAATAATCGTGAAAAAAGTCTTTTTTCTATACTTGATTTAAAAAAAAAATCGATTTTTTTTTTACATAAGTAATGACAAAAAAAATTAATAATTTTTTCAAAAAATAATAAATGTTCTATTTACACTTGACTATTAGGTAATAAAAGCCATGTTTCAATAATTTATCAATTAAAATAAACATTTTTTATTTTAATTGAAAAATTATTGAAATATGACTTTTATTACTCGAGTAGATCTACATTACCTAAGTCAAGTGTATACACTTTATAAATAGCATATTTATTATTTTTTAATGATTATTTCCCTCATTATAATATGAACCAATCAAAAGCCTTGAATTTTCGAATAAATTTCGTTTAAATAAGCGATTAAATCACTAGAACTATTTAACAACGATTAAATTTTAGCCTCCATATTGGATTTTTGTTTACGATTTTATGGTGTTATTTACAAGTTTTAAAAAATAATGTTTAAAAAACAATAAAAAATAAGTTATCTAGTTTACGAAATATCAATTATTACTTATTACATACCTTAAATTAATGGAAATAATCTAGACGTATATCACTTAACCTATAAATTTAATCTGTCAAACTATGCTCAGTAAGTTTTTTATTTGATTTTTCTTTTTGGAAAATTTATTTTTTTATATAGTTTCATGCAAAATAATTAAAAATAAAACCCCTCGACCGCTACGCGGTCTCGTGATTTTATTAAATTATTTTGCATTCAACATTTTCCAAGAAAAACCAAACAAAAAACTACTGAGCCTAGTTTAACCGATTAAATTCATAGTTCTCGTGATATAATATTGTATGATTAATTTTTTTGTCTCAGGTAAAGAAAAAATTTTGAATTAAAAAAAAAATTAAATATAGGAAAAAAACGTTTTTTTCACGTTTATTGATATTTCGTAAAAATTGTATTGTTTTACCGAAGAACACTCCATAAACTTCACGAAAAATATAATATTTCATGTTTTTGAGACAATATTTCGTGATAGAGTATGAAAAACTATAAAAATCATCATTTACTATTTGAAGTTGAACTTTAACCTCAAATAACTTTTAAAAGAGTCGACTATGCAAAAAATCATATGAGATCTTTTTTGTAGATCGTTCAATTCCCTACAAGAATATATATTGATTTCTACAACTCACTGATTCGTTAAAACGCAATAAAATTCCAAACAAAAAAATGTATTTTTCCCGTGTTATTTAAATGGAAAATAAAAAATCGCGATGAGCCACCTCTTAATATTGATATTAAGAGCTGAAACTTTATCAGAATTTTTTTTTCGTCATCTTGGATGATATTTTCATGGTACCTAAAGAAAAGAAAATTAAAAGTTTTTTTTGGCCCACCCTAATGAATATGTGAGCCATTAAATCAATGGGATCTTGTAATCCGTAACCCTGAATAACAATTCCTATAATACCAATAGGTAGTTAGCACTTGGTTTATAATCGTTTACTGTTTTTAAATTAACAACAAAAGTTATCGCTCCCAAATCTATTGATATTCATATTGATATTTATTTGTCCTCAACAATATTGCTTTCATCAGTAGGAGCTGATTTTGGATATAGTACACTTGAATTCATTCTATAATAGAATGAAATAGAATTTCTATTTAAACACACAACACAAACACAATACGCGTGGAACATATAACAAATATACGCTTGGATTTGGTCTAGGATTACAGAGCGTAATGGGGGGATTCCCGTAAAATCAATTTCTCTACAACTGCGCCCTCTTCGGGGTTTTCTATGAATTGCGCTATCAGACCGGCAACCCCATTACACCAAACTCTATTAAATATCGCTACGCCATCGTATAGGCAGCCCCTAATACATAACGAAATCCCAGTTATGTTCCAGTGAAATAGAGTTTAACAATTCTGACATTACGTTCGCGAGATTTATAATTAATTGTATAATATGGTACAAAATTCCAATTAATGGTATGAAAAATGGTACAGGTACACAAGGGGAAATAATGGTATAAATACCATTAAAATGGTACGTCTGGCAACGCTGATCTACCACCTATATTTTTCGAGTATTCCAGAGACTCCAAAGTAAGAAATCTGGAATTTATTTTTTGATGGTTACAAAATATTATAAGTATTTTTATAAAAAAGCAATAATAAAGCAGAATTGCTGATTGCCGTTGGCAATTTGCCAATATTCAAAATAAGAATAGAAAAAAGTCAAATATTAAAGAACACTTGGGTTGTACAGTTGTATTCAATAAAAAAGCGTACAAGAATTAGAATGAGAGAAAACTGTCAAAATAATATTATTGCTTAAAACCGGCTTATCACTGACATAAGTCATTAAAATAATTACTATAGGTTATAAAGAGCATTGACGTCGTAAGTTAATTAAATAATATTACAAAAATTATTACCTTTTAGAAATGAAAAAAAACAAACATTAAAAAAAATTAATATTTAGTCATGCATCCGTTTTTTTATTACTTGAGCCAATCTATTTAGGATGAACTGAATTAAATTTAATACAATATTTGGATTAATATCCTCCCAGCAGTATAGTAGGTATAGTATAGTTGTATAGTTTCCCATAAATCCTCAGATATCCCAAAAAAGTAGCATCCTGTTCAGGGGTGGACATTTTGGGACGACCTGAACCAACTCTTTGGTTTAAGTCGTTTTTTCGCGTAAATACCATGAAATACTATGGTCATTAAACTTAACCTTGGTTAATAGTTAAGGCATTTTTGCGTTTAGAGTGCGTTCAAAAATCCTAACTATGACGTCACAAATACCAGACCATAAAACTATATCGCTGAGCTAGTTATTCAACGTGGTTAATAGTCTTTCTCTTTATATTTAATATGTTTATGTAGGAATAATGTTGTGTGCTAAACATATCTTCTCCAAAACATACCGCCAACCTTCGTCTTTTTCTTTGGGGTTCCATTCTAAATTTTGAATTTCACAATAATAATTTTCGTATAAACGTTAAACACTGTTGGATTTTAATTATGGTAAACAACAGTGAAGAACTGTTTATAAACATAACTATATAAAAAGAGGTATAGAAAAGGTAGGTATAAGAACTAGGGTTCATAGAAAAAGAATATACAAGGTAAAAGAAGAGACAAAGAAATTTATTTACACCTGTAAAAGCATAGAAATTAAATATAAATAGGTAAAAACACATTTTAAAAATTATAGGTTATGAACAAGTAAACAAATGTCAAATGTTAGAAACCTAACCATGGTTATATGAATTAACTGTGACGTCATGACTTATTTAACCGTAGTATTTCATAGTATTTACGCGAAAAAAACGACTTTAGTAAATCTTCCTGTTCCCAGCGTTGCTTAATTTTTAATATAGATTTTTTATTTCTATTATACCACGGTACGAATTGACCATTCTTCGATTCTTGATACTATTTGAGCCTTTTTAACTGACGAGGCATTTTTATTTTCTACTGTCAGTTATAGTGACTTAAGTCAGTGGAAAGCCGGTTTTACGCAATAATGTTGACAGGTTTCTCTCATTCTAATTCTTGTACGCTTTTTTAATGAATACAACTGTATACTAGGTAAGTATATCGTAATTTAATAATTCCAGATTATAAATATTTAATTAATTAATTTGAGTATACAACCCAACTGTATGCATAATTTGATAATTGGCTTAATTCGTTCTTTATTTTTTGACTTTTTTCTATTCCATTTTCAAATTTGTAAAAATATAAGAAAAAAGTATAGTTTTTTTATTAATCTATTTTTTAAAAGAATACATATTTGAATTGAATAATTTATAATATTTTTGGTAAATTTTCAAAGATGGAAAAAGTATAAAAAAACACAACGCCATATTACCACTTTTAGGAAGATTTAATTTTAAAAAATTAAAAACTTTAAAAGTTGGTAGATTTGTCTTGTAAAGTAGTAGATTTGAGCAACACTAAAAGTTGTTAGATCTACCGAAAAATTGGTAGAGTTGGCAACCCTGTTCATGAACATGAATGTTTACCGAAAGTTCCTAGAACAACACTTCTGTGGTGTGAAATTCTTCTTCTTCTTCAAAATTTTTGGCCTTTAGCTAATTTAAAAGCTATTTGGCCAGTGGTGTGAAATTAGATGCGATTATGTGTCAAAATAAAGTTTAACCTCAATTTTATTTAGATTATGAAAATATGTGAACATTTTTAAAAATGATCATAACGATAACGATTTTAACAACTTGTATTAAATTGCTTCTAATTCCATCCTAGTAAGTTAAAAACAATATATTTATAGGTTATTTTAAACAAAACTCTATTTTAGTAAATCGACAGATTTTGAAGTACACCGAAACTGGCTGGCAATAACACATAATTTGAGCTATAAAAAATGGTATTTCGAAGACACATCCGAATGGACCTTAGACTATCCACCCTTATTTGCCTGGTTTGAGTATTTTCTATCATTTTTTGCAGTATTTTTTGATAGGAATATGTTGGTGATTTCCAACTTAAATTATGCTTCAGATGCAACTGTGGTGTTTCAAAGATTATCTGTGATATTGACTGATTTTATATATGTTTATGGAGTGTACAGGTACCTACATAATAACTTATCAAACATGGTTATCTTTTAATTAAAACATTTTAGAGTTACTAAATCATTAAGTAAAAGTTGGAGAAATGAAGTTGTGTTACCTATAATTTTAATAACAAATTGTGGACTAATTATGTTGGATCACATTCATTTTCAATATAATGGCATGATGTATGGAATTCTATTAATTTCTATTGCAAATATGATTAAGGTGACTATAAAGTTTTTAATTTTTTTATTTATTATTTATTTAATAATTTATTTTTTAGGAAAATTATGTTAGATCTGCAATATGGTTTACTATTTTACTAAATTTTAAGCATATCTATATTTATTTAGCACCTGCATACTTTACTTATTTACTTAGGCATTATTGTTTAAAAAACAAATCTGTTAGTAGTATATTAACATTGCCAGTTATTAAAAATATTAGTACATTGGGAGCTATTGTATTGGGCATATTTTTGGTGGTTTTTGCTCCCTTTGCTGACCACATAGGACAGGTAAGATAAATTAAGAGCTACTTTAATCTCAAAAACAATCTTATTTATAAATGAAAATTAATACTTTTATTAATATTTACCCTGCCGAAAATGCCCCTTTAAGAACAATAGAAACCAATGGGAATTTATGTTGTAATGTATTGGGTCCTATAGGTTTGAATCTGGTGAATTGGTATCAATTGGAAAACATAATTGTCTTGAATTGGTTTGATTGGGTATTTCCCATTTAGCCCTAAAACCATTTGGCGACATATAGAACCCAATAAAAACCAGTACCAATACACATATTCAGTCCGGTACAAACCATTTCATTCTCTTATTGGTTTCTATGGGTCATTTTCGGCAGGGTATGCATTAAAAAAATTACTTAAAAGAGCACAGTCACAGTGGTGTTCCCCCTTAAATTATAATTTAATTAATATTTATAAACATTATTATTTAAGGTTTTATCCCGACTTTTTCCATTTAAAAGAGGCCTTTGCCATGCATATTGGGCACCCAATGTCTGGGCCTTGTATAATACATTGGACAAAGCTGGTTTTCTTTTAAGTAAGTAAAATTTGTATGGCAAACTTTTTCAGCACTAAAAAGGGGATTTTTAGTGTCAAATATAGGCTTAATGGACAAAGACAAATCTACAGCAGCAATGACAGGGGGTTTGGTTCAAGAATTTTCACATTCTCTCCTTCCAAATATCTACCCGTTGACAACAATATTACTTACCATTATTTGTATGCTACCTTTTATGGTGAAATTGTTTGTTGAGAATAAAAGTTCTGCAAATTTTTTGCGATGCCTTACGCTATGTGCCTTAACATCATTTCTATTTGGATGGCATGTCCATGAAAAAGCAATATTAATGGCTATTATTCCTTTAAGGTAAGAATTTTGGTATGAATTTTTTAATGTGTGTTACTAGGTATATAAAAAACCAAGCTATATAAAATATTTTGATTCAAATTATAATATTTATAATTTTGAACCGAATAAATTTTGCTATTTTTAATTAATAGAAATATTTTGAATTATTCATAAATAAATACTTAAAAGTATTATAAGTATTATAATTATATATATTATTATAAGTATTTTAAGTATTATAATTATATATAATTTCTTTTGTCTTTTTAGTATTTTGTCCATAATGGAAGCAAGAGATGCCAACATCTTTTTGATACTCTCAGTAGTAGGTCATTTCTCCTTATTTCCACTGCTGTATCCTGGTTCCTTGCTAATAATCAAAGTCATTCTTCTATTATTACATTCCATTTACTCTTTCCATAGTTTATATAAAATGTATCCCTTAACAATATGTAAATATTCACTGCCATTGTTAAATCATATCGAAAGCATGTACCTGTTAGGCCTAAATTTGGTGTTTTTATATGAAAATGTTTTACATCAATTGCTAGGTTTAAGTAATAAGTTACCATTTTTACCACTTATGATAACATCTGTTTATTGCTCAATAGGCATTATTTATTGTTGGGTAAAACTGTATATTAATTTTTTTAAGAAAAGTAATCTTAATTCAAAAATAAAAACCAAAGTTAAATAAATTCGTTTTTTATATTTATCCGTTATTTAATTTTAATTATGAGGGTCGTTCAAAGAGTTCTTGGTCTGAAAAAAATGTTGCTGGTATACCAAAGTGCTATTCTAAATGGATGGGTTAAAAAATAAGAGATTTTTTTGTATGATTTTATTCATGTTCGTATATTACATAGTCCTTATGTACACATACTCCTTTCTAACTGTCTTTCTACAATATATAATTCAATAAGAGAAAAACATATTTGCAATATTATTTATTTTTTAAAAATTAAAGAATAAATCATACATTTTTATATATTTTTCTCAGATCAAAATTGGTCCTTAATTAAGTAAATTTTATATACTATGGAAATTTCATCAGTCATGTTATATTAATAGCAAATTTTTATATTTTTTTAATTGTCAAAACTGCGAATGATATTTACTTAATAAATTGTATATCTATCCCAGGCTTTTGACTTTTACCTATTCAAAAAATAATATACTCACATTAGTTTATATTTGAATATATTAAAATATGAATTTTAAATTATAAATCCATAATATTTAATTTGATATATAAATATATTTTTTTCTTACGATTTTCATATAGTTTAATTGATATGTACTTTTCCAAAAGTTTATTTTTTGTAGTTATGGATTTATACTTCTTTAATTATATTTTTAAAATAATTATACATACACCAGACATCATAGTAGCAATAAATGGTAAATAATTTTTAATTTTTAAGGTATCCCGAAAATGGTGCACTAACGAAATACCTACTGATAAAGGAGGTTACTTAATGTATACAAAATTATAAGTAGTCTTTGAATAATAAGGTTTCTATCAGGGGCGTAGCTACCGCGGTATTAGCTGTATCAATAATACGGGGCCCCCGGCTAGGGGGGGCCCCCGATTGGCTTCGACATGCGTAAGCAAAAAACATATTACCCACATGTTAAAAACATTGAGACATGAAATTAAATAAATAAATAAATAATATTATTATTTAATTATTTATACTTCGATATATTAGATTAAAATTTTCCTGAATACCCTCCTGTTCCAACGAGGCCGTGAACTCATACGAATTGTTTCTGCCCGCACTTTTCCGCCATGCGTTGTCTGCGGCGCAGTCTGCGCATATTGTTCTGTGCTCTGCGTCGCATTCTGAGTCTGCTTTGCGTGTTATTATCATAGGTATATTAATAGCAAATTAGAAATAATTATTAGCGTTATTAATTATTTAAAATGACTTGCCTTTATTTTAAAATAGAAACCTTTTAAAAGATGTTGAAGAATGCTAAATGTCTAAGACCAGACAAAATTTTAAAATTTGCCTGGACATGAAGAGCTAAGTATACATATAATTATAAAAAATTGGTAAATGCAAAAAAATGATACCCTAAAAAATTTTTTTTGTTTGCCCAAGATAGACTTTGGGCGTGACACCCAGAAGTTTTTTTGCCAGTAGCTTTTTCCGGGCCCCTACCAGATTTTTGATACGGGGCCCCCTCGAGGCTAGCTACGCCACTGGTTTCTATAATGATATTATATTATTATTTATGTCACCAAGCCAAAAAGTGAGTCTCTTTATACTTTAGCAAGAACAAAAGGATCTTCCGGGTCGAATTGCGTACAAAATTTTACCTTTAAGGTTATTTGTTACATGATAAGTACAATTTTTAAAAGTAGAAAGTGAGTAAAGAACCTCCCAAAAGAAGTGGAATTTTATGATTGGTTGAAATAACAGTGAATAGTGAAAATCGGCCAATCACTGACTCCTATCAACCAATTAGTAGCCTGGGCCATAATCATTCACTTCATTGTCGAGAGATCATAATTTTCTAATGACGTTTTTAAATAACTAGTTCTTCTTTGTAATAATAAAGATTATACCTAGTAACAATAATTTAAACAAATTGATGAAAGTTTTTTATCTACTACTCTGTGAAAAACCCCTTTGGACCAATAAAAAAATTCAACTACTGTCAGATCTAATCTAACCTCATTTTTAACTTTTGATAATAATTACTATTAATACGTTTTTATAAAATTTAATTTTTTAACAAATTAAAATATGTCTTGAAGATAAAATGTTGTATGCCATAAAAATATGTCTTGAAGATAAAATTTTATATGCCATGTGGCTGAGAGTCTCTTTGTGCTCCGCTCAATTGTAGACTCCGCTACGCGTCGGCATTCAAACTTTGAGCACAAAAGGACTCACTTCTCAGCCTTATGACATAAATAAGTATTATAATTTTTTTTTGACATAAACTATCAAAAAATATATCTGTCAACCTCAATTTTGAATGTATAATATTTCAGATTATCAGGCACATAGCGTTTGCAATATTGATTTTTCGGGACACCCTGTATGTACTCAAAACTAAATAGAATAATGCAATAATATTTACTATAGCGTATAATTAATATACATCAATATTATGTTTTAATAATACCTACATTAAATTTTTTTAGATAAAAACTATTAAAAAAAAACAATATTACAATTTTTATTATAAAATAATATTAGTCAATTGACTTGCACAATTCACTTTAATTAAATATAAAACACTTATAGTGATATTTCTGCTACTGTAAAGGATGAGCCAAAAAATTGGTAGGCACAGACCACATGACATGGTCTGTGGTAATAGGTATACTTAATTTCTTATTTTAAATACAAACCTATGTTCACATTGATTCAATAAAAACTTTTTGTTGTCCATGTTTTTTATTAATTTAAGAAGAAACATAGTAAAAACAATAAACATCAACAAAAATTTTAGTATTGTTGGTTTGATGTGAACCTAGCTTAGTAATTTATCGTGCATTTCAATTTAAACATTATTTTATTAATCTAGTAGACATTTTTGGATGTAGTAATATTATAAATATACAGGGTCTCTTATAAGTAAACGTTAATAATTATAATTTAATACCAGATTCTTTACAAAAAAAATTGAGATAAAGTCAACATTCAATAGCAACCAAGATTTTTTTTTTAATTTAAGAAATTATTTGATCTATGTATTTAATTTTTTTTTTATTTATTTTCTTCTCTAAATCAAACAACAAGCCTTCTTGATAAATAGTATAGTAACTTTAGTTAGGAAAATTAACTTTAATTTTGAGTGCATTAAATAATTCCAATTAATATATCCGAAAACGGTGAATCCTAGCGATATGTATGAGTTTTTTGAGGAAAAATGTTTAAGAGGCCATATTTAAAAAAAATGTAAATTAAACCAAGCATAAAAAAGTTAAAACAATAATAAATGGTTAAAAACCGTTGCCGTTGACTTTTTCACTAAAAAAATTTGACTCAATCTTTTTGTAAAGAATTTGCTGCTAAATTATTTAGCATTACCTACTTATGGGACACCCTCCAGATAGGCTTAGCAACACCGAACTGGTCTGGGACATCCCTAGAACGCAAAGAACACTTTGCTAGAACGTCAAGTCCAGACCCGGCTTAGGCGTGTTTTGGAGTCCACTGAACATCCTTAATTGTACTTCATAATAGGTATAAGCAATTTTCTGAGGATTAATATTTAAAATATTGTGTGAAATATCAAATATCATGTATATGCCTTCTTCGGATGTCGAGACAGCCTGAGGAAGTCAAAAAGAGTCGAACAAATCGATTAGCCTCATTATAAGAAAGATTAATTCACAAAAAACAGGTCCTTAACATGCTTTATAATACCTATTCGTCGGTTTTGTGCAAGTATTTATATTTAATTTAAAAATTTTTGTTTTAATTAAATTATTTTTATCACGTAAACGTGGTAGAAACCATTATAACATCATTTTTAAATTAATTTAAGTTCTGGTTTTAAAACATGGTTTTCTACTTAAGGTGTATACACCTACACGTAGTGTCCATGTTGTGAAAACTGCAGCAGCAATTTCAATTGTTCAAATTATTTAATAGAAGCATGGTACCATGCAATAGAAGCATATATGTATTAGATAAATTTGATACATTATTTATAAATATATTTACTGTAGTGTAGAAGATCGTCTTAGTGTTTTTAAAAGTAAGTAGGTATTTAGATTATAATCTAACGGTTTACCTATCTTGACTGTAACACATTACACGGTTGCACTTATAATTTTGAGAAAACTGCAGTTGGCCATGGCCAGTCGTGAAAAAATACTTTTCGCGTCCCTTGTGGAAATTTTTCTCTGAAAAAGTTTTAATAAGTAAAAATAAGAGTTTTTAAAGTCTTACTTTCTCTTAAAAAGTCTGAAGTCGGAAAAAGTCAGAATAAGTCTTAGTAAGTCAGACTAATAGCAAGATTTGGGAGTCTAGAAGAGTTAATAAGACTTTATAAGACTTTTAACAGAGAAATGGTAGGAACCTAACCAGCCAAGTTTATTGCATAATTACCTATATAATAACATATGTTATATATATAACAATTATAATTTTTTACATTCGATGCGCTTTTATTGTTGCCACTGTACGTTTTATTTTAATAGTTTCTTTTTACACAACCCACACAACAAGGAAAGTTCTTTAGCAGTTCGTACAGACTGAAAATCGCCAAATACTTCCCGCCATATTGTTCCAAACACTTTTTAGACACAATATTGATTTTCTCAGCTGACCAATTAGAGCACTGCCCATCTGTCATGTGATGGCATCTTCCCGCGTTTTCAAGATAGCTCTCCTGTCACTACTTACCAAGTGTTGGGGTATTTTACTCGAAAATCGGGTATTTTCGTCATGCTTTGCGGGTAGAATTTTGAAGCGGGTAAAATCGGATATTTTGCAAATTTCGATCAAAATACAAACTGAAGAAATTTTCAGCAAATAATATTGTTTGTTTACTAAAAATGCATAATTATTTTATTCTATATAGGATATTCTGTTGCATTTTTATTTACTTTTAAATTTTTTTTAAATTAATTTAATACATTTTTTATACCTGCGAATGCGCTAGTAAATTTAAAATATAACTAGTTTAAACTACTAAAAATTTTTAGTATTTTGTAATTTTTGGTCGGGAACTTTTATGACATTCATCCGGCAACACTGTATAAAGCACATGAAGCAATGAAAGATATTTGATCGATCAACCATATTTGTTTTATAATCTGTGTAAGTACTTATGTACTTAACCAACAAGGGATCTGTATGTACACAAACCAACTGTTTTATTCTGTTCAATTAAAATAAAGTTTGTTTACCTATATTGTAAACATTGCTTCCGTGTTTTTATAAGCCTTATAACAACACAAAAACAGTGTTTATAAATACTTTTCATTGTGCTTTCTCTTGCAATAACCAAATACAACATCTCTGAATAATTCAGGATATTTATTTTAATCGCTATAGGTACCTACCATTTCTCTGCTAAAAGTCTTATTAAGTCTTAAAAAGTCTTATAAACTCTTCCACAAGACTCCCAAATTTTGCTATTAGTCTGACTTACTAAGACTTATTCAGACTTTTTCCGACTTAATAAGTCTTATTCTGACTTTTTCCGACTTAATAGCTAGGTCTTATTCAGACTTTTTAAGGAGAAAGTAAGAGTCTTTTTAAAACTCTTATTAAAACTTTCTCACGGAAAAATTTCCACAAGGGGTGTTTTTAATTCCCAGGGAATTTCTTCATGTAGGTACTTAAAAACTTTATTTTACCCGCCGGAAGCTCGCAGTACATCTAAATTTTACAACAAGCCTAAATAATTGGACAAATCCCAAATGTACAAAGTGGGGTTATGTTTCTTGTAAAGTGAAGTATTTCTTTCTTAGATTTTTGCAAGGAATCGACCCGTTTTGTTTGGTCCAGTCATTCTGGGACATTGTTTTTGTTTTTATATTTTATTTTTATTGCAATATATTTTTTGTTTTTTTTTATACTTGGATGAATAAAATTGTTGTGTTAAAATTGTAGGTTTTATTTTTTATTCCTTGCAGCAAAATTATGGTCACGTTTGTTCCTAGGACGGTCTTTAATGGACCAAAACAGACTACTATAGGACGTCCTCTATGTCCAAGGTTGACGTTCTAAGAATATCCAGTGGACGTCAGTGTGCTATCTGGGCCTTTTAGGGCTTTTTAAACTTTTAATAAATTAATGAACTATTCGTGTTAAAAGGAACATTTTTGGATCATCCTCGATAAATTTCTGGAAAACAACATTAAGAAAACTATTACGTATATAAACATATATTGATATAGATTCACGTTTACTCCAACACTATGAACCGTTTACTGGTTCTTATAAGGAATGCCAAGGGAAGCGTGGTTGCCAATTTTTGCATTTTTTAATGACTCCTGATCTGGGTTAATCCCGAGTAATTTATAGATAAAATTTTGATGAATGGCTGCATCATTGCCTTGTTGGCTCGCATTCAGTATTTCTGGTTGCTCGATGAGGGTGTCGGACAAAGATGCGATCAAAATATCTAAAAATATATTTTATAATAACACTTAAAAATTTAAACCTAAGACTTAACTAAACAGTGTCTTGTTAAGAGGTATAAGTAGAACACCAAAATTCAGTAAAACATAAATAATGGTAAGCTTATTGAAAAGGTAGGTAATTTGTTCTATTATTAAAATATGATTTTGAGTATACGGGCGCCGCGGATGGCTCGTGAATGGACCGAAAACAAGATTGCTCTTGATCCTCATTTTAACCACAAAATTTAGTGTAGCGATAGGGCTTATTTTGGTTAAATGGCTACATAAAAAAACAAAAATGCAGAAGTCATTATTGAGACACCGTTTCTCCATACTTCTATGAAGTATTCACACTGAATTTCACAGTCAAAGTTGATGCAGGGCCGGCTAAACCCGGGTGCAGCGGGTTCAAAGCACCCGGGCGGCAGAGCATGAGGGGCGGCAAAACGAAACTAAATTCGAAACAAAAAAGGGTATCAATCAGTAAAAGTAAAAAATTAGAGGAAGCGTCACATACGAAACTTTTGTAACTTTTTGCCACCTTTCGAATTTTGCCGCCTCGTGCAGGGGCAAGGCACGTACCCTAGAGCCGGCCCTGATTTTACTCCAAAAAATGAGCAATGGTGGATTCTTTGACTTACGTCTAATTTTGAGAATACGATATTGTGCACATAGCATTATACTACAGGGTGTGAAAAAAAGGGATTTTTTTTTCAAAATTCCAAATCCCCATTCACAGGGCAATTGAGCTTGATACCCCTCCCTAATAACAGTTAGGTAATCCCTCGGGACGTTTTAGAGATTTTGTGGATATCTTGGCTAACTACGATCAGGGCCGGATTTACGAATTTGCCGCCCATGGGCCCAACGCATCATTACCCCGAATAACGAATGACTCAGCGAATAAGCTAGAGTCGCGCCCCACTCGCCTCGTGTTCATCGACTGCCGCCCTTCTACGCAGTGACGCACTACGCAGAATAATAGTGTAGTCTGATATAAAATTATCTAAAAAACTTCTCTTCCAACTTTTTATAGTTTTAATTAGTGTATAAATCTGAGTGAAAACAAAAATTCTGCATAAAACGCTCTTGATTTTTTAGCAAAATTTTAACTGGCCTTCAAAATTTGCCGCCCCTAAAAATTTGCCGCCCTGGGCCCGGGCCCATGTGGCCCATGCCTAAATCCGGCCCTGACTACGATTATACAGGGTGTTTTAGAATAAGATGCTAAACCTTAAGGGTGTGAATCCTTAGTTGATTTTAAGAAAAAAAGTTCAAATAAACCTATGACCTAAACCTCTTAATTTTTGAGTTACAGGGTGTTTTTATTTTTTTTACCAGTGGCGTCCGTACACTGCTATTTTTCAAAATAAAAATTATTTTTTAAATCCCCATTCATTTTAGGGCAAATTTGATTTCTTGACCATTTTTCGTACGACTAACGGTTTTCGATGAAAAAAATTTAAAGCATTTAAGGAAGGAAACTCAAAACCAGATATGCGCCATATTTCATAGTCAACCGTTTGTAGAAAATTGTATGAATATAGCCTGCATAAGTTTACGAGAATAATTTTGTATGGTTTGCGTTTTTATTTTGAATTTTCGAAAAACTGTCATATAATCGTATTTATCCAAGATATCCACAAAATCTCGAAAATGTCCCGAGGGATTACCTGTTATTAGGAAGGGGTATTATGACTATCAAGCTCAACTGCCTTTTGAAAGGTGATTTGGAATTTTGGAAAAAAACATCTCTTCTTTTTAACACCCTGTAGTATACTATGTGCACAATATCGTATTCCCAAAATTAGACGTAAGTAAAAGAATCTAATAGTGCTTATTTTTTGGACAACTGGAGGCTAACGACTATTTTCGAAAAATTGGTATATAATCGTAGTTAGCCAAGATATCCACAAAATCTCGAAAACGCAACTGTTATTAGGAATTTAGGAAATTAGGAATATTTTTTTAACACCCTGTAGTATAATGCTATGTGCACAATATTGTATTCTCAAAATTAGACTTAAGTCAAAGAATCCACTATTGCTCATTTTTTGGACTAAATTGGGAAATAACGACATTTACGATAAATTGGCATATAGTCGTAGTAAGCCGCGATATTCACAAAATCTCGAAGACGTTCCGAGGGAATACCTTACTAATATTAGGGAGGGGTATTACGACTATCAAACTCAACTGCCTCATGAATGGGAATAACTTGAAATTTCGGAAAAATACATCTCTTCGTTTAACACCCTGTAGTATAATGCTATGTGCAAAATATCTTATTTCCAAAATTAGACATAAGAGTCAAAGAATCAGCTATTTAGAATTTGCAAAGATTTTCAAAATCGATTCAGTATACTAGTAATTTTCCAATAACGATCTTTCAAATATTTTCCAATAACGATCTTTCAAATATTTTCCAAAAAACTAGGTGCGTCGATTTTTTGACGAGCAGTTTATATGAGCAAACCTTCATTTTCACCAGCGACCCTTATAGCCCTGGTTTAGGCTTATAGCTCAGTTAACAAAGCGATCGCTTAGCATGCGAGTGCTGAATACCGGTATTGAGCAGAACGGCATACCAGAGTTTATCTCTGGGTATACCATCAAGGGGCATTCATTTGTGCTTTGAATACAGTCAATATTTTTTTGTTTGAAGTGCATCCAATAAAGAGCGCTATGAATAATTACTGACTAAGTTTTGGGATCCCCAATTAAATGATGTTAATGTGGAAAAGCTTTGGCTCGACTCAATAAAATTATTGTAGAAAACATTCGATGTGTGCAAAATTTCGCGTAATCGACCTGTATTACAACTATGGATATTGAACAATCGTCGCGATATTGCCGGTATAAAGCCCCAGCTGCTCGAAAAAGTGCTCAAGAATTAAACTTCTAAATTGAGCATTTGAGCCAGCCGCCGCGCCCATATGCTCGAAATCATATTTGCTTAAAATTATCTTTAAATCCAATTCCGTGACCATAACCATGATTTACAAATGTATGTGTAGGTAAGGATTATTTCATTTTGAACTTCAATCTTTTGACGAGTTGTACGTCCGTTATTGGTATCGTTCAATCACGTCAGATTTTTGATAAATTACATTTCAAAATTTGGAACAAACTGGCTTTCTGCCATATTTGAAATTATATTACATCACAATATAAAATACTGCGTTTTTCACTTTTAGGAATTGGAAATTTCGACGTGTTCGAGCAATTCTGATTAGGTTGGATTTGGATTTACGGCGTCGGAAAAATATAGTCTGGTTTAGGTCGGTTAAATTTTGTCTTTCTGTGTTATTTTTATCTTTTCTTTTTTAATTTTTTATCTTACCCAACACTTTTTTTTCCAAATTTCTCGAAATATGACCCTTTTCAGCTTCTTGTTCTAGAAAGTTTGTAAACTTTTGCAAAGATCGTTGACTTTGTAGATTGCCGTTGGTTAAACCTTGGACAAACATAATCTTGGACAGCTGATAAATAACTTCTTCCAGTGAATATTGAGTGTACAGAAAATCTGCCATTCTTAAACGCTCCATTGCTTCTTCTTCTGTTGTTTTGTCTTGGTCTAAAAATAATATATCATCAATTACATTAATTTATACATTTATAAATTTATTTAAGAGTGTAAAACCTCTTTTGGGAACGCGTAAAAATGGAAAACGTATTTTGTTATAATCTACAATAACAACTATTTACATATTAATTAACACGCAAAGTTTTTTTATTTCAATTAAATTAAAGTTTCATAATTATGCTTTTCTTTATAAAAATGGCGTCATACATGGTAATTAATAACGATACAAAATAATTAATTAAAATTAGTTAAACTGTTTTATAGATTTAAGTAAGGCAATTTTTATTTACAAACTACTCTTAACTTAATTTAAAGGTTTAATCTTTGGTTGTAACTTTAAATTCGTTTAAAATATCACGAAGAAGTTATACGATATAATACTCACCGGCAAAAAAACCGGCCACCAAAAATTGGTCACAATTTAAATGTTGATTTCCTCGCAAACCGCTTTAAATGATATTTTTTTATGAGTACATGTACAGTTGTATTCATTAAAAAAGCGTACAAGAATTAGAATGAGAGAAAACTGTCAACATTATTGCGTAAAACCGGCTTTCCACTGACTTAAGTCACTATAACTGACAGTAGAAAATAAAAATGCCTCGTCAGTTAAAAAGGCTCAAAAAGTATCAAGAATCGAAGAAGAATGGTCAATTCGTACTGTGGTATAATAGAAATAAAAAATCTAAATTAAAAATTAAGCAATGCTGGGAACAGGAAGATTTACTAAACCAAAAAGTTGGTTCAGGTCGTCCCAAAATGTCCACCCCTGAACAGGATGCTGCTTTTTTTGGATATCTGAGGATTTATGGGAAACTATTCAACTATACTATACCTACTATACTGCTGGGAAGATATTAATCCAAATATTGTATTAAATTTAATTCAGTTCATCCCAAATAGATTGGCTCAAGTAATAGAAAAACAGGGATGCATGACTAAATATTAAATATTTTTTAATGTTTGTTTTTTTTCATTTCTAAAAGGTAATAATTTTTGTAATATTATTTAATTAACCTACGACGTCAATGCTCTTTATAACCTATAGTAATTATTTTAATAACTTATGTCAGTGATAAGCCGGTTTTAAGCAATAATATTATTTTGACAGTTTTCTCTCATTCTAATTCTTGTACGCTTTTTATTGAATACAACTGTACTTGTCAGTGCTATGTAGATATTTTTATTCTGATTTTAATCTGATCATATACAGGGTACAAAACACCAGCCACAGAGAAAAAAGATCAAGGGTGCTTATACAACGCCCACCGCCTCGACTCTATGTATATGGCACGTTTTTGTACGTGGCCGAGTATAGGAAATGTAGAAAGTATTAACTCGCTTGGTAGATTGAGAAACAAAGGTTTGTTTGTAATAAAATTTCGTATAACATAACCCACGCTATATTTATTTGTAAAAGTGCCCTAGAGGAGCACGATTGATTCAAATTTTAAACATAAAAAAGAAATCTGGGTGTCGGATACAATGTATAACATATGTAACACAGTTCGACATAAAAAATTTAACAGATTTTGAAAATAAAGATTAACAAAATGTACCCGCTCTCTAAAAATGAAGCCACTAATAATTCTCGTTAATAGCAATTTGTATCCCAAATATTTAGCAGTCAATTTTCATGTAAAATTGTCCCCTGAATCCGAAAATGTCGTCAAAAGTTAAAAAAGTAGAACCGTTTTTGAGATATAGTCAATTTTCTTTATAATATGGAATTGACTATATCTCAAAAACTGCTTCACTTTTAAAAAGTTTGATGGTATTTTCGGATTTAGGGGACAATTTAACATGAGAATTGGCTATTACATGTTGGCGATACCATGGTATCCCATGGTTAACCATGGTTTAAGTAAAAAAGCAGCCACTAATAACTGTAGTAACTAGTCATTTTTGACTAATTCATTTTAAGAGAGCATGTATCACCGTTTTACAAAATCACGTCATTTAAATTTTTTTATACAGATTAATATATGTTGGAAAAAACTTTGGGTTTTAAAGATTACACATTGCTTTAGAGTCTATAGTGGTATCACAACCTATAAAACACCACTTGATATATTTCGTAAATGTGCACACAATAATTTTAAAATATAGCTTTAATGGTTGTCCATTTATTTAGTAAATAAAATTTTTAAAAAGCTATACAGTATTATCGAAGTTTTATATTATTTGCCGAATAACGTGGATATGACGCTATCTGAAAAAACGCCCAGACACTGGTATCATTTTTTTAAGTCTATTTTAAAAATCTAGGAATTTTTCATAGGAGGAAAAAAATCAAATTTTGTCATACACACAGGCAAATTAAAGAGACGCAAATATTTATTTTTTGATTCAAAAATTTATTTCTGTACTGAATATATATTATAATATACATTGTATATGGGTCATTCCACCAAATAATTTTTTTTTGAGTGACCCATGCGGTTTTTTTTAATTTTGTGGAATTATTTTCTACATTAATATTTAGTACTTTTGTAGTAATAAATTTTCGAATTTAGAATTTTAATGTTTTATAAAAATACCAACAGTACTCATTTAAAGAGAATGCGTAAGGATTTATAAGATTTTCTTTATATTAGGGTTAAGTGATACCCTGTATAGAGATCAACTTGTTTCACACAAAGATTTGTATGATCGGGCAGGAAGATACTTTTTTACTAAACACTAATACAGTTTACTTATTGTAAACATTAATCTTTGTGTTAAAAAACTAACGTACCAGGTTCCTGTCTAGTCAGCTTGATAGGAGCTGTCTTAGTCATCACAGGTTCAGATGTTCTCTTTTTGGCCGCTTCCTGTCGCAGCTGGTTTATGTCGAAGCTGGTCTGCAGTTCCGGTTTGTCGTACAAAGCAGAGCTTCTCTCCAACTCGTTGTTTTGTTTTTCCTCTCCGTCACTGTTCTGAAATTAAATTCCGCTCGTTGAAATATATTTTGTTTATGACATTTTAAAATATATCGTTTTCAACATTTGCTTAATTCGTAAAGTAATAGGAAAAAAGCAAGTGAGTAAGAATTTCTTAAACGGATCACCCGAAAACCATTGCACCCCATTTACTGTTAAAGTTGTATTATTTAAGTCTATTTTTCTTTACTAAAATTGATTTGCAAAAAGGATAGGCCTCAAAATTTTTGTTGTAAATATTATTGATTTTTTACACTTTAAAAAAGTCATAACTCCTCCTTTACTGTACCGATTTTAAGTATCTAAACTGTTTTTAATTTGTTATTTAGTGTAGTTTAATTAAAGTTGATAATATTTTAACGGCAAATCAAGTGAATCTATAAGTTTACAGGCATTTAATCTTCAGATATCTTTAGGAGTTGGTAACTTTAAACCTCTTGATAAATTAAGCCTGCAGAAAACATCGGTTAGAGCCATTAACCACCAACCTCTTCGATGTGTTTGTGCATAAAATCGTTAAACCGTTGCTGATTATCAGTCTCGAGTAACATGATCATCAATACTAAAACATTGTACGTACAAGGTGCATTCCATAGTAAACAGGACTTTTTTAAAACAAGAACAGACCTTTTATTCCAAATGTCTCCTTAAAATACAGCACTTTTAATAAGTTTTTACGTCTAAAAAGAAAGAATTTCGATAATAAGTTCAAACTTTTAAACATAGTGGTGAAATGCATTTCTAAGGTATTTTTTTAGACATGGTCCCCGTGATTTTTAAAAATTCGGACATTCTTATCGGCAAGCTTTTTTGTTAATCTCACTATATATGTTGTCATGAGTTTAACTTAATTCTGAAATGCAACATTTATACAGTATAAATTATACTTTAGTATGGGGCTTAAGTTTTAATTAATGCATTACAATAAATAAAAAATAATGTGTTATAATATGAGAATTTAAAACATATTTTGAATGCTTTCAGTGTTTTTTTGTAGTGATATTCCAACTTTTAGAAAAACAAATGTTGTCAATAGGTTTACATTTCAATAATCATAACCAAATAAAACACAATGATTAACCACGCATCAAATAATGCCTCAAACAAAACTATTAGTAATGTTAGTCGGTGCGTTAAATGGCAAATAAGGACCAATACAATGATACCCCTTTAATAGCACTTCCCAACTAACAATCACGCTCTTTTTGTTAAAGCTATAACCATCTACTCCAAACCGTCAACTCATCTTGACCGTTTCGTTCATAGATTAAAAAGAATGTATGGTTTCGTTAAAAATGATACACCAGCTCCAGCCGGCGACTACCATACTATGACTCAATCCACTTAACGCGAGATGGCGGTACCTATACCAAAATTGTATGCGATACACTGTATTAGTATATTAGTATTATTATAATTATCGAGAATCGTGTATAATAGAAAAGATTTATTTACAAACAAAAATTATACAATCCAAACGCAACAGTATTGACTACATTTTTATGAATAGAATTTTAAATATTTTAAAACTAGTAAATAAATAATATTCGTAATGCTTAATCCATAAATGTATTATAATTATTATTTTAAGTACCTAACTTTTTTTCAAGCGTATAGTAATTTTCATATTCCCAGATAGCACCATTCGTCCAATGGACGTCCGTTTAAGATCCATTTTAAGTACATTGGTCCACGGACTAAAAATGGATGTACCATGTACGTCCATATATTTACATCCTTTGTACGATTTTAATGGACGTCCATATTGTGTCCATTTTACGTCCATAATTATTATTACAGAAATGCAAGTTAAAACGTATTGTTGGCTGCATAACAACAGTTATGATCAATCTCACTGACATTCAAGTAAGCGCGTGCTATAAAGGACTTAAGCTATCAATGAAATGTTAAACGTAGTATTGCAAATGAGTCTAATACAAGGATTTCCTGCAATGTTCAACATTGAATGTTGTAACTTTTAACAACTTTTAGAATATTTATATTCCTTCCTGGGATTGTTACTGAGCCAGACAAACGGCATTTCAGTCATGTTTTAGAAAATTTTCTGCAACATCGCAATGAAAATACAGTCGCAAAAAACAGTTAAAGTAAGCAAAAAAGCAGGTCCTGGATGCTGGAGGAATGGTTCAAACACATTATAGACGTCCATCGGTGGACGACTTATGGATGTCCAAAGTTGTGACATCTGGACTCTAAACGGATGTCCATGGGACGTCCATAGAAAAAAATGGACATCCTATGTACATACAGACGTCCACGAGCATATGTCCATTGGACGTCCATAGTATACCTTTGTGCTATCTGGGTTATAACACTCATAAGTCTATTAAGTCTAAACTTAACGTTGTACTTCATTATTTTTAGGTTAGGTTTAACTGACATAATGACATATTTTATCTTCATTTACATTTTTTACTTAGGTTTATAATAATGATTATAAACCCAAGAACAAAAATAAAGCTAAAATAGCATGTCAGTTGAACCTAACCTAAAAAAATAGGACACAATTTTTAGGAAATATTCTAATTAAATGGTTAAAAAAGTGGTATATAAAATATGGCGACAAAAGCTTATTAAATGCCTTCCACACAATTTATTGGTTCAGTGAAATGTATGCTTGGCTAAAATATTAGCTTTCTTTACCTGGTCTTTAATAAACTAATCGATGGTACAAAAATTACTTGGAGTGTAAAATAGTATAAAACATCATTTTAGTTACGAGTTTTATTAGGCACGAACAAAGCTTGCGAGCGAGTTTAGAGTCTAGACTATACTTTATCTACAACAAACCCAAATAAGAGTTTAAAGCCAATTGTAATTGTTGAATATTTGACATCTGACGAATCTAACCATACTTTTTTGCAATTTATAATATAGCTAACTTCAGTCTGTGACTAAAACGCCATTAAATCAAAGTCAATGTGGAAGTAGATAATAGTATATTATGTATAAAGTTTGATAAACGCCATTTTAGACACAAATTTAATTTAGTCCCGAGCGAGCTTGTGAGCGAGTGCTTAAATAATTGGGTGTCTAGAAAAGTTTATAAACAAGGTGCATACTATACTTTTTCTACGACAAATACTTATTATCTTAAAATGATTTAAATCAAATATTTGTATAGAGCGCCATCTATAAAACAATAGGGAGAGTGGGGTACATTCGGCCCTTTTTTATTAAAAAAATCGTCAGATTCACATGTATGTATTCAGAACAAATTCTTAGATACCATACCTATTAACAAAGATTAAGAAAGTTTAGGACACATGCTTGGCTCGCTGTATACCTCTATTATATATTTATTTGCAGTTTTTCGAAATGTAAAAAAATGATGAAACTACCCCATAAGTGGGGTACTTTCGGCCTAGGGATGGGGTACATTCGTTAGTACATTATTTAAACAAAAGATCTATAAACTTGACGTTATTTATTTAATATACATTAAGAGAACTGAAATTATAACAAAACGTATATATAGATGAAGTCCTTGCAGTGCCAGTTTGAGGTGGAGTTTGAAGTTTGGCAACAATGTCCGAAATATTAGTGTCAGTTATGTCTTCCACTGAAGGGAAAAAAAATTTCTGGCTAAATCCCCTTCTCCTCATGAACTTTATTGTATATATAGGGGAATTAACTTGTTCAATGCGACCTGCATAATGCATCAATATTCCAGACTTTGTAGGAAATTTAACTAAAACATAGTCGCCAACTTCAATATCTCCTTCGGAAGCCGTTTCTAGTTCTTCAAAGTCATCACTGCTGTTGGATATAACATCATCCAATGAGATATCAGAATCACTTGATTCTTCCTCATGCTTTTTTATTTTATGCTTTTCCACTTTTTTGTCGAATAAAATATTTCTCTTCGCCGTCCGGTTTTTCTTTACTTCTTGCTTTCTCTTTTTTTCCAATTCAATATTCTCCCTTATCAACAATTCAGGAGTGTCGGTGTATATTGTTGATTTTGACTTCTTTTTACCTCTCCTTGGTTTGGAAATGGAAGCTTTGGGATAAGGGACCAGTTTCTCCAAACTTAGACCAGAAGTTGAAGGTTGCGCTGAGCTGTATAAAAGGTCCGGAGGAGTACCTTCCTGAAAATTTGGATTATCATTGGCAGCATCATTTAATAGATTCCCATGTGAGCCATTGTGTTCAGGTCTGGGTGATCGATTCTCTTTATCTTCATTATCACGTGGTCCTAGCTGAGGTTCATATTGAGTTAAAGGTCTATCTGTCACCTTGCTCGCTATAAAATCCTCATCAGAAAATATTATCCGGTTGATTGGCCATAAACCAGTTTTCTTGAAAGCGTGAGTAATATTTTTAATGGAAAAGGCATTTTCATATGCTTTGTTTGCCAAATATCCAATATTTCTTATGGTTATGGCTCGACCTGGGTGCGCTAACATCCAATCATTGAATGCTGTGGCCAGATAAGCTTTGAATGGGGCATAAACTCCCACATCTAACGGCTGAAGCCTGTGAGTAGTATGGGGTGGAAATGACAGCAGAACAATTCCATTGGATTTACAATATTTTATTGTTTCCACCGAGATGTGGGATTCATGGTTGTCTATAAGTAGCAAGATTTTGCTGTCTTCAGAACAGTGAGTATAATTTTCTATTTGTTTCAAAACATCTGGGAATAATTCTGAGGTCATCCAACCAGACTTATTTCCTAGTGCAATGGATCCCAAAGGCGACCCTTCTGATAAATATTCAGAGGGATTTCGAATCCTGGGAAATACGAATATAGGAGGAACCGTCGCGCCAACACCGTTGATGATGCCCACAAAGGTGACTAACGATCCCCTCTCTGCTGAAGAAATTTGACCCACTTGCTTCTTCCCTTTAGTAGTGAAAACTTTTACAGGCCTGGCAACAGTTGTGATTCCTGTTTCATCCAAATTCCACACTTGACCGGCACGAAATTTGTACTTTTCCAAGACAGAAGCATATTTATCAAAAAATGTATC